TTTGGAAAACTGATTGTATGTACTCTGTATTGTTTTATTAAAGTGAATTAATTGCTTTAATTTTATTTACCTAAAAGCTTCAACTGATGTACGCTGTTAGTGGCTTATGAAACTTGTTATAAAAAGAATCACTTTTGAGTTATTCAAGCATCAAGAAACCTTTAAAATAGGGTTTTTGGGGTTTTTTAGCTTTAAACCAGTTTTTTTTTTTTTTTTTTTAAATTTAATTTAACTAAACTCAGTTCTGGACAAAGAGAGTATAGTTCAGAGTGAATTTTCTACGATTGATTTTTATAACCTCTGTGAAAAGGGATTTATAAAATAAAGGCTGATAGACAGTCATGAGTGATGGTATAAAGTAAATGTAAGGAAAAGTAGCATTTATTTATTTTATTTTTACAGTTTTTATTCTGTACTTGAAGTAAGTGTCAGTCTACAATGACACTTCTCTGATCAGGAAATTAGTAGAGTGAGATATAATTCTTGAAGGCATATTTCATTAACTGTGGCAGTGTTTAAGTAGTACAGCATGAAGCTGTTTTATGTTCTAATGCAGTCAACAGTCTTTTTCAAGTCGTAGGATATTTCTAATGTAGGCCTATAATCAGCTGGATCTGTATAATAGATAATACAAAGCAGGCACATTTGAAAGCTGCTGAGAATTCATATATTGCATTATGTTTGAGGTTAATCAGTCAGGAGTTGTCACGCGATGTAAAGTATGTACGTGTATGTGTATGTATGTTTCAAGAATTGTAGGTAAACCTATACAAAATATGAAGGAGCCTTATATTAAGTTTGGAATATTATCACAGCACTCACAAAGATTGTTATAGCTTAGGGTTATCTACATCTTCATAAAAATTTTGGCGAGTTTTTGTTAGAAATCATGATTTTGAACTGAAACTTTATTTAAAGCCTGGCTGGGTATAAAATTAATTTTAAGTATTAAAATAGAAATATTTTAACAATCTTACATTTATAGTAGTACAGATAAAAAAAAAAAAAAAAACCCAAACAACTACTGAATTCAGATGTTTTTGTGCACCTGTAGCTTTAAAAAGATTTGGTTGAATTTATTGAAATGCATGTAGTTCATAAAATGGATGAATGCATTTGTACACCTTCAAAAATAATACATTGGAAAGATACAATTTTTTATTAATGATTTATTCTAGTTGTAAAAAAATCATCACTCTGTGTATTTCCCATATAGATATGAGAACAAACAGCTGACTTGAATAGGTGAAAAAATCAAAACTGATTTTACTATTGGATCTTGTTCAGAAAAATTGGCAGAAAAAAATGTTATTTTTACTTTTTCTTTCTTTCTTTCTTTTTAAAGATTGCAGCCCATTCTCAATAGCCAGAACCTTATTTATGGTCTTGTAACATAATGCCTACCTTTTCATGCCTGTAATTTTGTGTCCACTTTACAGGGCTTCTCTCCATTTGTAGTTAGAATAGCCTTTAAAAGCTAGTAGTGCAGCAGGCAATTGAAGCAGCATGTCAGGGCTATAGTTTTTTTCCCACCATGATACTGTACCTGAAAGGGACTGATGTAGGAACCATTATGTTAGCATTATACACTCTGTATATTCTGCTTAAATCAGGGTGATATTCATATGACAGAACAAGGAGCAATGGTCTAAAGTTGCAGCAAGGGAAATTTAGATTAGATATTAGGAAACACTTTCTCATAGTAAAACACTGGAACAGGTTATTGGAGAGGTTGTGGAATCTCTACCCTAGGAGATTTTTAAGACCTGGCTAGACAAAGCCTTGTCTGGGGTGATATAGTTGGGGATGGTCCTCCTTGTAGCAGGGGGTTGGATTAGATGACCTCCTGAAGTCCCTTCCAACCCTCATTTTCTATGATTCTGTGACTAGATAATGCTGATTTTGATAACAGATTCCATCTATGGTGTGGCAGAAAGCAGCTGCATTGAATTATGGGAGGACCTGGCTGAACTGAGAAAAATGAAGTATTTTTCTCTGTCTTTCAATTATAGTAATCTTGATTGTTACAGATAATTAACTGTAATGCTACTATTGTACCATGCACTTGACTACTCTACTTGTTTATAGGAGCGTCTTAGGGGACAAGGGAAAGTGAGGGTCTTTTATTTTGTTAATGCCCCACTCTTTGCAGCCAGTGACTGTGCTTTCATGTTTGAACAGCATTTAAATCACAAAGTGAACATGAGTCAACAGTGTAATTCTGGCAAATGGAAAATGCAAAATGTCATTTTGGAATACATATTAAAAGTATGTCATATGTAAGACATATAAGGTAATTATTTTGGTCTTCATGCTGGTGAGGCCTCAGCTGTTGTACTCTGTCCATCAGTAGATACATTTCTTATAGTTCCAAGAGCAACAAAATGATTAGTTTTAGGAAAAATGACCTATGAGGAAAGATTGAATAAAACGGCATCTTAATTTAGGGGTGCACTGATATATTGGTTGGCCATCGGATTGGCACTGATGAAAGGAGAAGTGACGTTATCAGCTATCATCTTTTTTTGGTCATTGTAGTTGGTAATTATAGCCACATGCCTGGAGCATCCTGGCGAGCATAGTCCAGTCCCTGTGCCCAGTTGCCAGCCTGAGCCTGTGACAGACTTCAGGTCCTGGAAAGTAGTGGGAGGTGGAGGAGGTGCTAGAGAGCAGTAAGAGGCCATGGCTCTCAGCAGCAAAGGTGGGCACAGCAGGGGGCTGAGCACTGGGGCGGTCATGGAGACGTTGAACTGCACGTGGGTGGGTTTAGGTGCTGTCCAAGGGACATTCTGCTCTGATGGACACTGGTTACCTTTGCAAAAGCGCCTTCTTCCTGGCAGCTGCAGAAGCTCAGCTGCATGGGGCCTGCCAGCGCTGAGGCAGCAGTGTGTCTTGGGCCTCCAAATGTGCCTGGCACTGCTGTCTGCATGAGGATCTGCCCTGCCCACCTAGGACAGCAGCATGGGCTGCACTGGGAATGAAGCTGTCGGTATAGGTAAGAGGACGATGTGTGTGGGAATAAGGCAGTCGCAGCCTCCCTCATTGAGGGCCGGAGCAGGCAGGAGGGGTGTGTGTGTGTGTGTGTACGTTATAAATGCCAAATGAAAAAAAAAAAGGTTTATTTATGTCAGTAGTTTAAAATGCCTTGCACTATTATTAAATATCAGTTATTGGATTGGCAGTGGCCAATATTGTTGGTTAATCATTGGCTATCAGTATCGGCCAAGAAAATCTTTATTGGTGCACCTCTAATCTCAATCTGGGGAAGGGAGGATGGAAGGAGTCACACAATGAGTTGTCAAAGACATGGATTTTTGAGCACCGTACTTCAAGAAGGATGTTGATAGACTCGAGAGGGTCCAGAGGAGAGCCACTCGTATGGTCAGGGGCTTATAGAACAAGCCCTATGAGGAGAGACTGAGGGACCTGGACCTCTTCAGCCTCCACAAGAGAAGGCTGAGAGGTGATCTTGTGACTGCCTACAAATTGATTAGGGGGATGCAGCAAGGGATTGGGGATGGTCTGTTCACCAGGGCACCTCTTGGCGTAACAAGGAACAATGGTCACAAACTGACAGAGCAGATTTAAGCTAGGTATCAGGAAAAACTTCTTCACAGGAAGGGTGGCCAAAATTTGGAATGGGTTTCCAGGGGAGGTGGTACTTTCCCCTACCTTGGGGGTCTTTAAGAGAAGGCTGGATAGGCATCTGGCTGGGGTCATCTGACCGCAGCACTCTTTTCTGCCTAGGCGGGCAGTCGGACTCGATGATCTGTTGAGGTTCCTTCCGACCCTAGCATCTGTGAATCTATGGAAGGTTGCCATAAAGCGAATGATTACCAGTGGTTCTCCTTGTCCACCAAAAGTAGAACAAGAAGTAGGTTGGCTTACTTTGCAGCAAAGGAAATTTCAGTTAGGTAGTAGGATAAACTGTTTTACTCTAAGGACAGGTAAGTACTTGAAAAGATTACCAGGATAGGATATGGTATCCTGGTCTTTGAAAGGTTTTAAAAACAGATTTTGAAGATAGATTTGATAAACATCTGTCAGGGGTGGTGTAAGTATACTAGATCCTTTTTTGGAACGGGGGTAGATGAGATTATTTTTGAACTCCTTTCTAGCCCTGCATTTCTATGATTTTTGTTTGTAGAGATTACTGAAAACAAATAACAGCAGCAGGAAAAAAGGCCAAATTTATATGTGAGAGTGCATTTTTTAAACATACTTGTGTCTGTACTTAGTAATTAAAAGTGCCTCGACACAGCAGAATTCTTAGCACGATGCGAGTGCTCGGTGCAAGGGATGCCTCGCTACGGCGGGAAAAGCCTTAGTGCAGTGATCAGCTTCCTCCAAAACTAGCAGTTGCACTGTTTGGATGCATGCTACCAATTGGCTCATCGTAAATTATTCATACCCAGCGGCTAGCAATTGGCTCACTAGCCGTATAAAAGCTTGTGTAGTTTCTGTCCAAGTCAGAGAACTCTGCGTGCACGTTGGGAACGAGTTCCTCGTGTACCTTGGAGTAAAATTGGAGGCCTGATCAACCACCAACCACTCCCCGTCGACGACCGTCCCGACGTACCCTGCACCCTGCATGCTCGGAAACATCGGTTTCTTCTTTGTTTTTGTAACCTGTACGGAGAGTGCCTACACTGTGTGCATCGACGCAAGTCCCTGTACGTCAGTTTGTAAGTAAAGTTCTTTTCAATTCAACCAGTACGCATTTGTGCCTAATTCCACTCCATCGCGGCCCCATTCCGGCTATACTCGGCACCCACAACTTGTAGCTGTTGTTTAATTTTAATGGAAAATAAAGGATATTGTAAAACTAATGGAAGTAAAGTAGACGTGGACAAGTCATTTAGATTTCCCAGTCAGCGAGTGACACATTAACCACCTCTGTTTTCTTAAAAGGGCAAATAGTGGGTCTAGTGGGGAGTGACAGGGATATGAAACTGCTTAAATGTGTCTCGGAAAAAACCACCAGTACTCCGCGTTGTTTGTGAAGCAGGTCAGCAGAAGCTTTTATTGAGCTACAGCTGTAGGGGGGAAGAGAATTTCTTCCTACTTCCCCACTAATACAGAAAATGCGAAAGTATTTATACATTTTAATTGCATGAGATCATCTTTTATAACCAATCATGGTATAGGGTCTGCCTAAAGAATTTATAGCTTTAAGATCAAAAATAGTAATTACAGCATCAGTATTAAAACAGCAAGTTTAGCAAAAACCCGTTACCTTCCCATGCCTTATAGTCTGAGGCAATCTTGCCGCTTCCTTTGACCGTTGACTGTACTAAACATTCTTCCTCTTTTGTATTTTTCCTCCACACTTGTATTTTTCCCCCACACCTTCCCCCTTTGAGACTATAAAAGTCTCACCAATTTTTATGCTCTTATATTTATAAGATCCCAAAAAAAGTCCTGCAATTTTTTGTATTTATCTTCCGTAGGCCTACTTTCCTGCTCCTGTTGTATCATTTGCAGCGTCATAACATTATGTATTGCAGGGCTTGGCTGAGACAGGCAGAAAAGACAGCAGCGGAAGCAGAGGTATATTATGCAAATTAAAAGGATTATAACAAAAAGTATTAAGAGTCCATGAATAACAGTAGATCTTAGTGACCCGAATAGAGAACCAAACCATGAACTAAAGCTCCAAGTATTAGACTCGTGGAGCTTGGTCGTGGTTTTACGTATATGATCGACCAAATCATGTATTTCTTCTGACTTATCTGGAATATAAGTATAGCATTCTTTTCCTATTAATGCACAGATGCCGCCTTTACTGGCCAAGGTAAAGTCTAGTGCTATTCGGTTTTGTAGCACCATGGTCCGTAAGGCTATCATCTCCTGGGTCAAGTGGTCTAAGGATTCTGCGGTATCGTTATTTACTTGTTTTAGTATATTAGCCAACAGTCTAATTTTTTGAATTGTCCTGCCTATACCATATATGGGAAACATTATAGCACCAAATCGTTCATCCTCAGTGATTTCCCTTTTTTCCCTGGCAGTGCATATAGATTTGGAAGGAGGGAGAGACAAATGTCGAATAGCTGGTGTAATGTAACCAAGATAACACGACCCGGACCAGTGGCCAGGCAACCAAAAATATGCACAATTTTCACAAATATAATAGGTCCCATTATATGCTATCCATTTTCTGTGCTGTGCATGGGTCTTATTTAAAACAATGGTTGGTGCACTAGCCAAGCAATTAAAAGATATATTTTTATGTTCCTTGATTTTAAAATGGATACTAGCATTCGTTGAGGTACAGTCAATAGTGTAATTATAAGTATTGAAGCTTACCTTGTTTGCACCATTATACTTATAACACAAGAAGCCAGGAATGGGCTTGGCTATTTGGATAATATATGGAAATGTGGCAGGATCGGAAGAGGGAGGAGGACGTTTAGCAAAGGTGTAATTGGTCCAGAATCCCCGGCACTTATTTTCCTGGTGTTTTGGATCAAACATATCACAAAAGTCAGTCCAGTTAAGGGGAATAGCAGTCACTGGTATTCCCAGTGCTGTAATAAGGGGTGAATGAGAGCATACCTAACATTTAGAGAGATTTAAGTTCTTTGCATATTGGTAAGATAGGTGAAGAAAAGTGTTGTGGTGGTGATACCAGTGGGGAAGAGTTCTTTTTGACTTTAAAGAAAGTTCTGTTTGATTTTTTGGGTCTTCTGCCGGCGGTGGGTGCCTTAAGGTATATAGAATAATGAAAAGGAAAAGACTGAGGAACACCCAAGTCATAAACAACCAGCCCCACGGTGGGAGCCAGGAACTAGGTGGAGACCTTCTTCCTTTCTCAAAGGGCGTAGCGGTGTTGCTGTGGTGCATTTTCCTCAACTGGTGATGATGAGTCTTTTGTGGCAATAGCAGGCAGTCGAATAGCTGAAGAATCCAGGTGCTCCACACTCGCTTGAGTGAGGTCCTGAGGTTTTTTGTCCTTGGCCTCAGGGAGAGTTTTTACTCCTGGTTGAAAGGCTGTTGCGTCAGGGTTTAATGGGGGTGATACCCTTTTGCACTGTGAAGTGTGGGTCCAGGTTTGATGTCCTTGACAGCAAACAGCAGTATTGGTTGTCAAAAGAACTTGAAAAGGTCCCTTCCACCGAGGCTGAAGAGCGTTTTTTCGTTGATACACCTTTACGTAGACCCAATCCCCTGGTTTAAGATTGTGACGGGGCTTCTGGAGGGCATGGTAAGGCTTTTCGGGCCTGTGAGTGAAGAGATCTAACAGAAGATTTGATTAGAGTTTTATAATAATTTAATATAGTCTCATCAGTAAGTTGTAAGTCAAGCTGGTGTGAGGCGACAGGTGGTGTGGCAGGCATCCTCATGGGTCGAGCCATTAGTATCTCATAAGGTGTCAGGCCATGCCTTCTGTTAATAGTGTTTCTAATATGCATGAGGGCAATAGGCAACGCATCAGGCCATTTAAGACCCGTTTCGGCACAAATCTTTGAAATGCGTGTCTTTAAATCAGAGTTTTTGCGTTTTATAGCACCACTGGATTGCGGGTGATAACTGCAATGTAGGTGCTGCTGTATGTTGAGCTCTTGACAGATGTTTTTTATTATCTGTCCTGTGAAATGGGTGCCGCGGTCACTATCTATTGCGAGGGGCAACCCGAAGCTAGGGATAAATTCCTTTAGCAGTTTTTTTTGTTACTGTGATAGAATCAGCATGTATACATGGATAGGCTTTTATCCATCTAGAGAACATATCAATAATAACAAGAATATACTCATAAGAACAGCACTTGGGTAGCTGCACAAAATCAATTTGTAGATTTACAAAAGGTCCCCAAGGAGGGGGATGGGCTGCGGGTGTCGTTTTTATCCGTTGCCCAATGTTGTGAGCTAAACAAATCTGACAGGAGCTGCAGTATTGTTGTGCTATTGAAGGAAAATTTGGGGCAAACCAATTTCTTTTTATTGTGGCAATCATTCCCCCCTTGCTCGTATGGGCCACGGAGTGGGTTAAACGGGCAAGATGGGGTAAAAGCTCTCTAGGCGCTACCAGGCGGCCGTCCGGGGAACGCCAGAGAGAGTCGGGGTGCAGCGAACATCCTGTACGCAGCCAGTCATTCATCTCCTTTTTAGGGGCCTGATTTTGAAGAAGGGCTAGACTCGGAAGACTAGCCAAAGGTGACTGGTCTGCTAAAAAACAAACAGAAACAGAGTTAGGAGCCTGTGGGCCAGAAAGGGCCGCGTTTCTGGCAGAACGGTCTGCCAGATCATTTTTTTGTGTGACATCATCAAAAGGTTTTTCATGAGCTTTACATTTGACAACAGCAATAGCAAAAGGCAGTTGAACAGCTTTTAAGAGTGTATTAACATAGTAACCATGACTGATTTGGGTCCCTGATGAAGTAAGGAACCTTCTTTGTTTCCAAATTTGTCTAAAATCATGGATAACACCAAAAGCCTATTTAGAGTTAGTATAAATGGTTGCAGTTTGATTTTTTGCAAGGATACAAGCGCGTGTCAATGCGATGAGTTCAGCGACTTGAGCAGAACGAGCCTTGGGTAAAGAATATGTCTCCAAAACAGTATGTGGAGTGCATACGGCATATCCAGTAACTAATTCACCTGCATCATTTTTAAGACAGGAACCATCAACAAACAAAACGAGGTCAGAGTTAGGGATAGGATTGTCCCTAAGGTCAATTCAAGGGGTTAGCAACTGGTTTGTGATGGACAGACAATCATGAGGTTCACCATCAGAGTCAACGGGCAAAAGTGATGCTGGATTTAGAATTGAGCAACGAGTTAAGGTTATATTTGCAGCTGACAACAGAAGTTTTTCATATCTAGTAAGACGGGAATTAGAAATATGCTGGGTTTTTTCTTTGAGAAGAAAGGCCATTATAGCATGTGGAACTGCTACGGTTAAGGGGTGTCCCAGAACTAAAGAATCCGTTTTTTCCACCAACAAGGCAGCAGCTGCAACTGAACGGAGGCACGGAAAGAGTCCCGCAGCAACTGGATTCAGGGCAGAGCTGTAGTATGCAATTGGGCGATGCTTCTCGCCATGTAGCTGAGCGAGCACTCCTAAAGCAATTTCTTCTCGTTCATGGCAAAACAGAGTAAAAGGTTTTTTATAATCAGGAAGTCCAAGAGCAGGGGCAAGGGTAAGGGTTTGTTTCAGAGCTGTGAATGCTTGCTCGGCCTCCGGAGTCCACAGGAGGGGTTCTGGGGTGTTATCATGGGTGAAGGCTAGCAAGGGTTTAGTAAGAGCAGCATATCCCAGAATCCATTGCCTACAATATCCTGCTGCACCCAGGAATCCCCTCATTTGTTTTCTGGTTATTGGTTTGGGAATGGTGAGGATAGCTGTGATTTTATTAAGAGAGAGGTGTCGTTTTCCAGCCGAAACATCATGCCCTAGGTAATGCACTTTAGGTCTATAGAGCTGTAATTTAGACTTGGAAGCTTTATGGCCTCTTTGGACTGAAGCTGTGAGGAGTATTAAGGTATCTTGTTTATAGGCCTCAAAAGAGGGTGAGGCCAGTAATAGATCATCAACATATTGAATGAGAGTGGACCCCCCTTTAAAGGTGATAGGGTGTAAGTCCTTTTTTAGGATCTGGGAAAACAGGGTTGGGGATTTGGTATACCCCTGAGGTAGCCTTGTCCAAGTATATTGGAATCCCTGATAAGTAAATGTAAACAAATATTGACTGTCCTTATGAATGGGGATAGAGAAAAAAGCAGAACACAAATCTATCACTGTGAAGCAAGTAGCATCTGGAGGGATATAAGAAAGGATAGTAGGAGGGTTAGGGACCACACTAGTGATGGCTCGAAGATCTTGCACAAAATGATAAGTATTTTTCCCAGGTTTCTTGACAGGCAGGATAGGTGTGTTGCATGGTGAGCGTACTGGGACAATTATCCCTTGCTCCAAAAGTGAGGAAATGACAGGTTTAATTCCTTCCTCAGCTTCCCTCGAGATAGGGTATTGCGGGACACGGGGAAGTGGCTTGGCTGGGTTTAAAGTAATAAGCACAGGTTTGGCACTCTGTATGTGTCCTACCTCATTTGCATGGGTGGACCATAGCTGGGGAGGTATTCGAGCTAACAGTTCCTCTTGCAAGTAGGAAGTCAGGATCTGAGTATTCCTGGGTTAGCAAAGCCACAAACTCGGTCCCCCTATGTTCTGGTACTTTAAGGTAAACCCCATCGGGGCTACAATAAATAACACATCCCAGCTTATACAACAAATCCTTCCCTAGAAGGTTAACAGGTGTACAAGGACTGAGGTGGAAAGCATGCTTTTCAGACAAAGGGCCGAGAGAGATAGAGACAGGTTCGGAAACTGGGTGTGGGATAGGCTGTCCACTTATCCCTACAGCATTTATAGTTTCGTAAGACTGAGGTAGAAAAGGGAAGTCAACAGCTTTTAATGTGGAGCGAGAGGCTCCGGTGTCAACGAGACAGGAAACAGGCTGACCAGGAATAAAACATTTAACAAACGGACCAGATGGGTCAGTAGCAAGCAGAGGGGTAATGATGTCACTGTCCCCTAGGCTGTCCTATGCCAAGCTAGAAAATTTTGCAGGAATGAGGGGTGAGGACGGAAGGCCAGGCCTTTGGCTAGGGCGATTGGGACACTCCAATTTCCAATGCCCTTCTTGTTTACAATAGTGACACTGGTTTCCATAACTAATAGGTCTAGCCCCTCCCCTGAATCTTTCCGCTCCTCCTCTTCCCCATCCTCTCCCCCTGAAAGGACTCTGTAATTGGGAAATCTGTAAAGCCATTAGCTTGAATTCAGCATTGTCCTTAGACCTTTCCAACTTGTTATAGAAATGGATGGCTGCTGCAAGGAAATTTTTGGGATTAATTCCTTAAACAAAGCCAGCCACTATGGCTTGTTTAGCATTTCGGACTGGATCATCCATTCCTGAATGTCGCTCAAACGCCTGTTTAAGACGTTTCAAATAGTCACTAGGGTGTTCATCCTTATTTTGCTTACAGGTATTTATTTTAGTCCAGTCTTCTTTCTTAGGACAAATTGTTAGGATGGCCTGAACTAGAGCATTCCTTTTATCGATAAAATTTTGGCCAACTCCTGGGTCCTGTTCAGGCCAGTTACAGGCAGTATATAAACGCAACAGAGTTTTCTTAGGCAAAACGGACCGCAGGAGCTGATTTATGTCAGCCCATGTTGGGTTGTAACAGTTTATAACAGTTTGCAATTCTTCCTGAAATTTTGCTGGGTCCTCTCTAATTTTGGGAAATTTTGGGGTTAAATTATAAAGATCACCTGGTGTCCACGGTGCATGCACGATGATTACATTTTGTCCATCTGAGTCAAGTCCCGGCACCTGTCTTAAAGGGTAGCTTGGAAGAGTTAAATTTTTTCAGGGTCTGAGAAGCATAGGGGAGATTTTTTTTTATTTTATTTATTTATTTTTTTTATTCTTGTGCTTGTAGGCTGAGTGAGGATAAGAGACCCAGGGGTCGTACCCCAGTCTGATGGTGATTGAATGATGGTGGAAGTGGAAGACGAGCCTGGACTAGAAATATCAATAGAAGAGATTACCGAGGATGGGGAGCTTGTTGGGATTGTAGCCTGTTGAGATGAGGAGCTTGCCAGGATTGCAGCCTGTTGCCCGGGTGGTTGCTGTGTGGGGGAGCAGGCAGGGGGTCTCAGGAGGGCTGGATTTGCACAGAGGTCAAGGACATCTTTTGCCGGTTCCTGTAAAGGGGGCTCCCCAGGCAGAGCTGGATACATTGAAGTAGCAGCCGGCGTATAATTTGGGGGAGCAGCCAATTTCTCCCGACCAGCTTTCAACTGCTGTTTCAATTTATCCTGAGAATCTTTTAAACTCCGGGTGTGAGACTCCGTTCGTCTCTTGGACGTTTCATCATACCAGTTAAAAAATACGTCCCACTGATTCTGCGGGACCTTGGGTCCTTGGGACTCTAAAGCCCCTCTTA